GGGTGAGTGGAGACGTGGGTGGAGAGAGAACCGACCCGCGCTTGCTGAGATCCGAGGTCCTTTCTTAGGGTGCAAACTAGTGCACGGGTCCCTGGGCCGCCCTGTCCCCGAAGGAAGCCACGCGTAACCACAGAACCTAAAGACCTGCTAGGCCGCGCCAGGCCCGCTTAGAACTCTCGTGGAGGTGGGTTCAAATCCTGGCTGTAAGGCTAGAGGCCCCAGCGAGCAGTCACCCCGGCCGGTTCCTTCTTCCCCAGTGCAAGGATCGAGTTCCTCATGCACTGTCACAACACCCGAGTTTCCCCATCCTGCGCGACCTGGGTTCCCCAGGGGCCGGCGCCGTGGGAAATGGCGGAAGGTAGGAGAGGAGGAGAGCAGGGGAGACGGTCAGAGGGCAGATGGCCCATGGGGACAGACCCTCGCGGGCCACGGGCGGGCTGGGTGCGGCTGCATGGTCAACACTGACTTCGGAACCAAACCAACCAGGTTGCGGCCCAGTTTTACCTGCTGATGAGCGGATCCTCTTGGGCCACTCACTGTACGCCTCTGAAGCGGTTTATTTAGGAAATTGAAACTGCTCACTGCGGGGCCGTGGTGGGGCTTTGTGTTAGGCCCTGTTTTCTAGAGAAAAACAAACAACGGTGGCACTGTCTGTACTGTATAAGAAAGTACATCGTTATCAAGAGCGAATTTTATACCCACAAGCAACCTAACCTAACCCAGTCCAATTCAAGTCCACGGTCAGGTGCTAGCTGGAGGCCTAGTCAGACGGATGCAAGTGCGGATGGAAGAAGCCAAGAGGGAAGCCTGGGGAGCCAGGCTGGGGTGGGGTCCTCAGGAGCACGGCAGGGTTGGAGGCTCAATCCAGGCAAGCAGGAAGTGAAGAGATGCACAAGAGGAAGAAGGTACCAGGGTTTCTCATAAAAGGTTGCATCCCCTAGGAGGCCTCATCAGGCCGTGTCCTGATTGAGGGCTTGGGCCCCACCCCTGTGCCACACGGGAACCATCAAGGTGACACATACAATCTAAACCTTCAAGGCCTGGAGCATCTGTAGCATTCGCCCACATGCCGGGATCGCAGCACCCAGCTGCTGCTCTCCTGCGAGCTGTTGGAGCCAGCCACACGCACTGTGCTTTATGAGCCGGGTGTGCGTGTTCTTGCAGACAAGGGCAGGCTTTTCATCCGTTCCTCAGGGCCCTGCTGGAGCTTCTCAGGAAGTGGCAAAATGGCCAGGTCGCCTCCCAGGCCCTGCTCCATGCAGTTTCCCACCCCACCCCAGGAGCTGGGTGGAAAGCGTTGTACCACCCCTGGCGCTGTGTGACCCTGGGGAGTGGTTGGTCTTCTCTGAGCCTGATTTCAAAGCTGTGCACTCAGCTACTCGCAGCTCAGTGTGGGGGCCGGGACTGGCTGTAGTGTTGCTGAGAAGGTCCGGCCCTGGCCAGGGAGTAGGGGTACCTCACCCCAGACTAAACCCACTGCCTTGGAATCTATTCCCTAGGGTAGTTCCCCGCCAAGGCCCTGTGGACCCGTGAGCTTCAGGCAGGACAGGGCTGGGTGTTCTAGGGAGAGGAGCAATGTCTAAGAGGTGTGGCTGAGCAGAGCTCTGGGAAGGTCAGGTGTCAGGCTGCAGGCCACCTGGGTTTTCCGCCCTGCCGAACAGAGTCCAAACTGAACCCCTGTCTCTGCAGGCTCCATCTACGAGATCTCTGGGAATGAGTGCTGCCTCTCCACAGGGGACCTGATCAAGGTCACCCAGGTGCGCCTCCAGAAGGTGGTCTGCGAGGGCCTGAAGGTGGGTCAGACCATGGAGCTGGCCCCCAACTTCCAGGGTAAGTGCCCTGCACCCTAGTGTAGGCAAGCCTGCGGAAAGCCCCTCTTCACGGCTGAGATGGGGTGGGCAGTGCCAAGCTGGGTGTGGCTGCTCGGCCTCCTGTGGGCCTCTGACCACATCTGCCTCTCCCATGCGAGCTTCCTTTGGTTGCTTTTGTCCAGATGTCTGTCCCTGCATTCACTCACCAAGCGTTCCTGACACCCTTGGCATGCCAGGCTCTGGGTGGAGGCACAGCTCTCTCTGGCAGGGGGCGTCTAAGGGGGCAGGTGGGGATGCTGGGACAATCAACGAGAGGAGGACCAAGGCGGTGTCCGAGCCTGTGTGGGAGTCACGTTGTCTCAGGGGCCGGGGAAGGCTTGCTGGAGGGGTGGTCATACTAGCTGGGTGTGAAGCGCTGGAGGAAGGACCTTGGTGCTCTGGACACCCCGAGCAGCTCAGTGAAGGCAGAGGTGACTGTGGGCCAGACCCAGAAGCCAGCTGCCTGCTGCGAGTCCCAGCTCTGGCAGCTACTAGCTGTGGCCTGGGTACATTCACAGGACTTCTGCGTGCCTCAGCATCCTGGCACCCGCAGGCTCGCTCTAGGGGCTTGTTCTCATTACGCTGACTGTGATTCCTGGGACGGCGTGTGTGAGGGGCATCGGGAAGGGGGAAGCAGGATCAGATCACCAGGGGTTCATTCAGTGCAATCACACGTTTTGATTTTTATTTATTTAATTTAAATTTATACTTTCATGTAATTTCAGATTTACAGAAGACTTGCTAGGACTTCTGTAATCCCTTCAGCCAGATTCACCAGTTGTGAAACAGTTTGCTACCTTTGCTTGCTCTCTCTCTTTACACACACACACACATCGATTACTATCTGTATATAATACACGTTATTATTTTTCTCGAACATTTAAGAATACATTGCATACGTGAGGAGGCCCCTTGTCCCTAAATCCTAATAGCATGTAGTTCCGAAGACCAAGGACACACCTTGGTCGTTGACAGGGCAGTGATCTGATTTGGGACATTTAAAGTTGAGACAATATTTTTGTCGAATCTGGAGTTTAGATTCAATTGCTACCACTGTTCTAACAATGCCCCTGAATGCAGGTTCCCCACTGTCAACGCACACATCGCACACACTGGTGCTGGGCCATGCAGCCAGGAGCAGCTCTCAGGCTTTCTTGGGCTGGGCATGGACGGGTTTGCAGGGTCCAGACAGCACACCTGTAGAAAGTTCCTCAGTCCGGGTTAGCCTGGTTGTCCCCTTGACCAAGCTCAGGTGGTAGGCTCAGGGCAGGGAAACCCTGGACAAGATGTTATGTCCAGAAGCCAGCAAGGGGAGAATGGCTGAGATAGGAGAGAGTCTGGGAGGGAAGTGTAGTCAGCCAGCCTGAGGTGAGGCAGAACCTGGGGGAAAGGTCAGAGGTCACCATGGCCTATAGCCTCTGGGTTTCCGGTTTGGAGGGATGGACAGTGGTGTTGCCCCAGGATGGAGATGACTGGGGGTAGGGGGATCATGGGGGTGGAGTGGTGGTGAGGCATTTGGGGAAAATTAGAGGCTCCGGAGAAGGGATTATTGGTATGTCTGCTGGGAGGGATGTGTCCCTGCTCGGTGCTCAGTGTCTCTGGAGGGGCTCTGTGTCCAAGCTCGCCTGTCTCAGGAACAGCTATTCCATCCCTGCCCTGCCCAGCCCATTCCCACCCGGTCACTCACCTCTAGTGAGGGTGTCCGACTGGGTCATCACAAGGCCTGACCTGAGCCTGGTCTATGGGTAACTGGACCCAGCAAAGGGCTGCCCACTGCTGACCAGTGACTTTTCTGCTCTCTGTTGTGCCCCACAGGCCACTTCAGCCCCCTCACTGGCCCCCAGAGCTACAAAACCCTGGAGGAGCTGGTCACTGCAGCAAACCAGAGCTGCAAGCCACTGCCCCTTTACTTCATGTCAGCCTGCAGCATCACAGTCAAAGGCACGGTGGTGCCCAAGAACCAGCCCCTCACCTTGGAGGCGGTGGAGATGCACCTTGGAACCTGCTGCGCCCGCTGTGTCCTGAGCACAAGCAGCCAGCAGGCCGTTGTGCACCTGCCCCTGTCTCAGAAGGGGCTCTTCTGGCAATGGGAGACTGGTGCCCCCAGGAGCTTGCTCCAGGCCCTGCAGGACCCCACGCTGAGGAACCTCCCCGTCTCCTGCCCCACGCTACCCTTGAGCACACTCATCCTGAGGCCCCAGTATGAGGTCCACGCCATCATGCACAGTGAGTTGCTGGTGGGCGGGTGCTGGGGGGAAGAGGAGAGCTCTAGGGCTCTAGGGAGCTGCTTTGATGGAAGATTCTACTCCTCCCTGCCCCAACCCTCCAGTGGTAGTCTAGGGATTTCAGGTGGCTTACCCAGCATATGCAATATTATAGAATAAAGGTTTCCAAATAAGTGGGAAATTAGATGTAAAATAAGATAAAGATGAGGTCCCGTGTACTTTATAAAACTGGGGGGCGGGGAGGGGGGGCGCGAAAGTTGGGTCTTAAGCTTGCTGGCAGTTGGCCCAAAGATACAGGTCACAACGTTGCTCCGGAGAACAGGATCCTTCTTGGAGGTCCTTGAAGATAGGACACTGTGTCCCAGTGAATCCCCCTGCTGGCTCGATGAGTTACTTCCCAGGGCATTTTTCTCAGGCAGGCAGGGTGTGAGGCAGAGGGAGAACCGTCAAGTGCGGGCCAGTCGGAGGCAACAGGTGACGCCTGGATGGGGGCCCTGAGGCTGCCTCCCGAGAGTAAAGAGTTCAACCCTGGAAGTTACCCAGGAGAGTCAGCTTTGTTGGCTTCGCCTTATTAAAAATATATTTTAAAGGAGGGGGAAATAGTACGATGTACTCTCCCCACCATGGCGCCATCATTCAACACCCCCACAACCAACTCCTGGCCTGTCTGGTTGCGTTGCTGCCCCTCCCCACCCCGATGATTTCCAAACGAATCCAGACATCATATTACTTCTTCTTTCTCAAAAAAATTTTTTCTTCATCCTATGACGTCTTTGATAAATACGCCAATGTCTCTTTCAGAAATGTTTTTTTTTAAAAAACAGACCCACAATACCATTATCACACCAAAAAATGAATAATGGGTTCCTGACTGCCAACAAATATCCATTGGCTGTTTGAATTTCCACTGTGGACTTGGAACTTTTGTGTACTGTTCGTTCGAATCAGGATCCACCGAAGTTCGCATGTTATCATTAGCTGTCTTGTCCCTTTTAGTCTCTGGGCTCCTCTTCCGTCGCTATTTTGGGATATTTATTTATTTTGCACATAATGCCTCT